GAGGGTGGTGAGACCCTTGGCACAGGGTGCCTCTCTGTGGCTGCCCCAGCCCTGGCAGTGTTCACAGCCAGGTTGGGTGAAGCCTTAAGCAACCTGCTCTGGTGGGAGGTGTCCCTGCCCAGGGCAGGGGTTGGGGCTGGATGGGCTTTAAGGTCCTTCCATCCCAAACCATCCTGGGATTCTAAACAGTCAGGACCTCTGATCCCAAAGGGATGGACCAGATCATTTATTGCTCTCACCATTTAACTAGTGCCTTCCTATAGATCCTGCCTGCCAGAGAGCTCACCCACTTGTTCAATCCCCGGCAGGAATTACTCTCAGACTAAATTACATGAGAAGAATCCAACTCAAGCAAGACATCCACCTCCCTACATTTTCCATCCCTAAAGAAGGTGGTGAGGTCCAGTTACCACAGTCACAGCAGGTAAGGAAATCTCCCTGAAGATTCCCAACAACCACCTATCACAAGCCCAGGACACACAGATGTCAGCACAGCTCTACTCCCACAGGATCTCAGCATCCCAAGCACCAGCAATCTCCAAGGGGCAACCAGCTGTTGTGCCTGCAGCTCACCCCACACAGGTCACCCCCAAGGTGCACCTGCACTCTTAAGGGGTGAGGTATTTCCTGATTTGCTCCATAGCCAAAGCTGCTTGGCTAAATCCTCTGAGATTTAATTCCACTCTGGCTAATGTCACCTGACAGAGCTTTCCTGAGGGTGCTCAAACACTGGAGACTTGAGAGGGGATTTCAGAGCAGGGTAACATGCGTCACTGCAGACAAAGTCCTTGTGCTCAGCCGATGGGAGCACCAGCAAACTCCTCCAGGCTGCCACGGGTGCTGCTGACAGCACTGCAACATGCACTGGGGTAGAGATTTACACCTCAACAAGAGAGATTTGGTGCAGAGAGTGTGTAGAGATTTGCAGCCAAACCCTGAGGACAAGGACTGGGTGGGAGAGGACAGGAGGGACATCTCTAACTTCTACCTGCTTCAAGACCAGATGCCAAGGCAGAAGCATCAGGTTGGGTTTCCAGGCCTGTTGTCAGAGCGTGGGCTGAGACACAGCCCCACAGAGATGTCCTCAGCACAGCTCAGACACAGCCTTCAAGCTGACCACGTCCCACTGGAGCATGCAGTGAAGGAAACATGCCCAGAAAAGCAGAGCAGTGACACATCTTTGAGAGACTGAAAGTTGGACTTGATCTTGGAGGTCTTTTCCAACCTTTATGATTCCATGATTCTCTGGTCCAAATAAATCCGAGCTGTTGCTGCCATAAGGAGAAGCCTAAGCTCTCCAGGCTGCAGTCAAGGCTCATCTGAACTCATGCAGCACCAAGTGATCAGAAATTTCTTGGCCTCATTTGAGACTCACCACCCCAACTCCTTTGTGGCCAAGAGACAGACCTGGCTGATGTTCCACTGCTTCCCCTGAGTGTGTCCTGTGCCTGCCTGGCAGTGCCCTGCACCCCACACTGCCTGTGTCCCTCCTGCACTGCCCACCCAGACCCTGTGGCACAAGGCAGTGAGGTCTGGACAGTTCTTCAGGAGCCAACTCTGCTTAATCCATCCAGTCACTGCACGTCCTTTCCTCCAGAGCCCATCCCTGGAAGTGTTCTGTACCAGGTGGGACAGGGCTTGGAGCAGCCTGGGCTGGTGGAAGGTGTCCCTGCCCAGGGCAGGGGTGGAATGGGATGAGATTTAAGGTCCTTCCAACCCAAACCAGTCTGTGATTTTATGATCCCACAGTCCCCTGGACATGCCAACACCTTCTCTCTCCCCCAAACTGGGGGTTGGTACCCAGGAGGGTCCTGAGCCTCCAGGGCTCCCCTCCCCTGGGCTCTGTGAGCAAACACCCCACAGCAGCAGCCCTGGA